TTCTTCCCCAGGTTCAGGTGTTGAGAGGACTGGAGCCGTGGTCAGATATTTCTTTAGGTTGGACAAAGCGGCCTCACATTCCTCAGTCCATAGGAAGTCCGTGGCCTTCTTCACCAGGTTGAATAAGGGTTTACATATGTCTGAGCTTCTGCTGATGAACCTGTTTAGGGCTGCGGCCCTTCCAGTTAGCATCTACACCTGTTTTGTCGATGTCGGGCTCTTCAACTCTAGGATGACCTTGATTTGATCTGGGCTGGCCTCAATGCCCTTTCTTGTTACCAGGTACCCCAAGGAAGTCCGTGGCCTTCTTCACCAGGTTGAATAAGGGTTTACATATGTCTGAGCTTCTACTGATGAACCTATTTAGGGCTGCGGCTCTTCCAGTTAGCATCTGCACCTGTTTTGCCGATGTTGGGCTCTTCAACTCTAGGATGGCCTTGATTTGATCTGGGCTGGCCTTAATGTCCTTTCTTGTTACCAGGTACCCCAGAAACTTACTTGATCAAACTCCAAACGCGTACTTCAATGCGTTGAGTCGGAGCCGGTATGTTTAGAGTATATCAAAGACCTCTTTTAGGTCGGCAAGATGACCCTTAGGTTCCTTGGTCTTCACGACCATGTCATTGATGTAGACTTCTACTGTTTGGCCAATCAGGTGTTTGAACATTTTGGTTACCAGCCTTTAGTAAGTTGCTCCTGCGTTTTTTAACCTGAAAGGCATTACCCTGTAATAGTACAGGCCTTTTGGGGTGATGAATGCGGTTTTTTCTTCATCTGGAGGGTACATGGTGATCTGGTGGTACCCCCTGTAGGCGTCTAGAAAACTCATTCTTCCATGCCCTGAAGTGGCATCTACTAGCTAGTTAATTTTGGGCAGGGGAAAGCTGTCTTTGGGACAGGCTTTATTGAGGCTGATAAAGTCTACGCAGACCCTCCATTTTCCGTTCTTCTTCTTTACCACCACTGTATTGGATAGCCATGTTGGGTAGTGTACTTCTCTAATGGCCCTGGCCTCCAGAAGTCTGTCTACTTCTTCTTCTACTGCTTCGACGTGTATCAACGTCGGTCTTCTGGCTCGCTGAATTACAGGTTTGGCCGACCTGTCAACATTCAGTTTGTGGCAAGTGACCTCGGGGTTAATGCCAGTCATTTCGTAAGGTGTCCAAGCGAACACCTCAATATTTGCTCTTAAAAAAGTCTCCAAGTCTTTTTCCTCTTCTTCGACTAAGCCCGAGCCGAGAAGAAAGAAGCGTTCTTCATCCCCATCCTGGACGAGGATTTTCTTTAGCGCCTCTTCACTCTTCTCGGCTGGTTCTTTGCCGACGTCTTCTAGGACTTCCAAGTCCTCATCTTTAATTTCTGCCTTCTCTGGCTCTCGCACGCTGCAGGTAGATTTCATTGCTGCCATGGTGCAACTCTTCGCCTGTAGCTGATCGCCTCTAACTTCCTTTATCCCATGCTCTGTTGGGAATCGCAGTAGTTGATACAATGTTGAGGGAACTGCCTCCATTGCATGCAACAATGGCCTTCCTAAGATGATGTTGTATGGCAAAGGCGTGTCAATCACCATGAATTCTGTCCTGACCTTCTTAGTGTCGGCTTGTACTTCTAAGCTTGTTGCGCCCAGTGGCCACGTCGGCGTTCCATTGAAGCCAACCATCGGGCCATTGGATTGCTTCAAGTCATCAAGATGAAGGCCCAACTCCTTGTAACATCTAACATACATGATGTCGCAAGAGCTGCCTTGATCAATCAGGATGCATTTCACTTGGCACTCCCCAACCTGGAGGGATACTACCAAGACATCATTATGTGGATGCTGGACCATCTCTAGGTCGGCTTCAGTAAAAGCTATCGTCGGTCCCTAGCATTCTTCAGGTTGAGGTCTTTTATGTCTGACCTGGTTCACGTGCTGTAGGTGTTTTACCTTCTGGGTCTCCCCTCGTATGCCGTTTTCGTTCGCTTTTGAGTGAATTACATTAACCACCCGTGGTCCTCTTACCTATGGTTGCTATGGTGAGGGAGGCGGAGCTGCTGGTGCTTGAGGCAATCTTGCCTGTCCTTCCCTTGTCCTGGCTTCATTGACAAGGTCCCTCAGATGGCCTTGCCTCACCAAGTCTTCTAAGTGTGCTTTTAGGGCTCTGCAACCCTGAGTTAGGTGCCCTTCTTCATTATGGTAAGCACAACACCTACCGACGTTTATTTCCATAAATTTCCTTGGTGTTCTTGTCAGTGCTCTGAAATAGGGTTTGTTTCGTTTGATCCAGGACTTTGTGGACCGGGATTCGGAACACAGTCGTCACTGCCTGTTTAGCCCTTAATTCTGTTTCTTATTTGATCGATCCATTGTTACCTCGGCTTCGCTTCGGCGAGCCGTTTTCTTTTTTCTGCTTTGTCTCTTTGTTTCCCGACGCATCCTCCTCGGCTTTGGCGTACTTCTCGATTCTTGCCATGAGTTCTTCCATGCTTTTTGACAATGTCTTTGCCAAAGACTTCCGTAGTGGGCAGTCATCTTTCAGGTCGTTCTTGAAAGACACGACTGTCACCTCTTGGTTGCATTCAAGTATTCGATTGAATACCTCGTAGTACCTTTTTGCGTAGGCCCTAAGGCCTTCATCCTTGGTGATTTTTAAAGCCATCAGTGCGTCGACCCTCAAGGGCTGTAGTTTGTTTGTCACAAACCTGGCCACAAACATCTCGGCCAGGCCTTCCCTAGTCTTTACGCTTCCCTTCGATAGTTTATGGAACTAATCTGATGCAATCTCCTCGAAGGATGAGGGGAATACTTTGCAGAGCAACGGCTCGTTCCCACTATATAATGCCATTGAATTTAGGTATAGTCCAACGTGAAAGTTGGGATCTGACTTACCATCATATATTTGGAACCTCGGCATACTGAATCTCTTTGGTGCTTCAAATTTGTCCAGTTCCACCGAGAATGGTGTCCTCGGCTTAACCGGGGAAGTTACCTCGGCTTCAGCATTCTGTTGCTTCCTCTTGAGGTAATCTCTCAAGTCTTCTTTACTCCTCCCTGGAGCTCGGCTATCTTTAGACTTCAATCTTTTCGGCACACTATTTTTGGCCTCGTGGTGGGCCCGTTTTAATCTTTCTCCATGGGTTGTGTCAAAGCAGAGCGCCTGCCCTTGAACATGCCGATGTTCTTTGGGCTCTGGGTCCTTCGTGTGATACGTCATTCGGGGCTCCTCTCGTCTCGGCTCCTTTCGTCTGACTTCCCTGGAAGGTCGGTGAGAGTGCCTTCCACTCCTGGTGTGCTGAGGGGCTTCGGAGATTGTTTTTCTTCCTCCCTTCTGGGTATTAGTTGCTGGAATCGGCGTGTCGTGTGGCGGGTACGGTGGCTGCATGACATTGTTTTGCATCATGAAGTTGACGACCGACTACAGGTCTGCAAATTTGTTTGCCAATTCTTTTACTTCTTCATCCCTCCGCAGGCACCTATCCCTCCATACCTGGAGGTTATCTTCGTTATAGTACTTGTTTTGGTCTGTCTTCTTCGAAGTGTCGCCCTCCTGGCCGACGTCTTTCTCTCCGTGGCCCTGATCACGAGTTTCTGCATTGTTGTTGTCTCCTTCAATATCAAGGTCGATAGGTCTGCCACTCCCAGCAGGAGTGTCGTCCCCAATCTTTTCCTTCTGTCCGTCGTTGGCCATCTATTCTCCTTTCGTTCCCACAGATGGCGCCAAATTGTGTGTGCGATTTTCTGACCACACTGCCCGTTTAGTAATTAGCTAGAGAGCACCGGCAGAATAGATGGCTTCAGCTAACCTAAAACAGAAAGAAAAGGCTCCGGCGGTGACTCTTCTGCCCGGGGGCACTCCGACGATCAAGTCAGTTTATCTCTCAAAGATAATCAAGTGCTAAACTCACTACTCAAAGCATAAATTACATACCTTAGACCCACTAGGTGCCTCTCTTTTATAGTTTACTTAATCCTAGTCCCACTAGAAGCCTGATTTCTATGGACTCCAATTTAGTACTTACTTTGGATTCTTCAAGAGATAAAGATAAATTCCCTAAGAGCTTTATCCCCATTTTGACTAAGTCTCTTCTTCATTCTAGGACTCTTATCCCTTATCTTTTATCCTCTTATCTCGGATTCCGATATCTTCAGAGATAACCTCGGCCTTGTTGAGATCACCTCGGCATCACGACCAGGACACGTGGCACCTCGGCTGAAACGTCGGCGTCACCTTGCCACGTGTTGGTACTCATAAAATATATCCCCACACTTTGATATTGATTTCACATACGCTGTTTTTGGTTGGAAAATTTAGAAATGAAGAGAAAAATATGTATGAAATTAAGTAAAATATAAGTATATTTTATTCATATTTCACCTACATTTTTCAATTATCTTTCCAAATCACTTCTCAAATCCGTCAACCAAACACATCAATAGTGATACAAAAGTCTGCCCTTGCTTCCCATAATACATTTCAACAAATTCATAAAGAACTTGACCTAGAGTTAAAACTTCAAATGTGGGAGAGGAAGTTAAATCTGTTGAGGATTGAATAATTTCTTCCATAATCTGCAAAATAATGAACATTGTAATAAAAGACAAAAATAAAATCTTCAGAACATATTACATTATGTTGAAGCTCAATGGTTTAATCACTAAACCCATCTCTTTATAACACAATCCCTGTACGTATGCTTTGCCAAATCTCTATTATTAGGTTGAAAGCTTATTTGGATGTTGATTTCTATAAATCAATGTGTCAAAGATTTTCTATTCCTCTGTGTCAATGTACTTTCAATCATATGATACGCTAGGAATTTTGAGACAAGAAAATCCCACTATCGTGTGACTCAAAATGTATTAAACAAAAACTTCATAACACAATCCCTGTATTTATGCTTTGCCAAATCTCTATCATTAGGTTAAAGCTTCTTTGGATGTTGATTTCCATAAATCAATGCGTCAAAGATTCTCTATCCCTTTGTCTCAGTATACTTTCCATCGTATGATGCGGTAAAAATTTTGAGACTAAAAAATCTCAAGATTGTGTGACTCAAAATGCATTAAAACAATATGACAGAAAATTTTATATACAAAAGATCTCCATGTCTCAATATACTCTCAATTACATGATGAGGTAGAAATCTCACGACAAGAAAATCAAGATACATAATCATGCAATTGAAAGTACATTGAAATAGACGAATAGAAAAATTTAGACACAAAATCCTGCACCAAATTAATTTGAGCTCTAGTGATAATATTGACCTGATTTGCAATCCTTGTGTTGTGTAATAAATAAGTAGTTATAGAGGATAGTCTTCAATTATTTATGATGGATGTTGATCAATCAAGTTGAATAGGTCATCTCCAATCCCAAACCCAAGCATCCTGGCCATGTCACTTGCCTTCAATCTAGGCTTTGGAATGCTATGTTGCTTGAACCAAGAATAGACTATGAACACTTTCTTCATGATGAACAATTCTAGTGCCTCTGGATTGAACACTATACCCATTCTCATACTCATCTATCAAAAACAAAAAAACAAAAAGATGAAAGTTAGGACCTCAAATCAAATGATTGTATATAGCAATGCTACTAAAATAAAAATTTGTTCAGAAAAATATCCGGAATGCAATTCTGACATTGCATTGATCATGGAACCTGTTTCAAAATACTTTAAAAAGTTAGCTTTTAGATTTATTTAGTTTAATTTTATTATATTTTTAAAACCAAGTTGTATAATTGTTTCGTGGAACTTTTTTGTTGAAACGGGGTTAGGCAACTTACTCTTTTATGCTTTGCAAATTTCACCAAGAAAAAAAAAAATTCTAATGAAATGAAAAAAGCCAATTTTCTTATTTTTTTTCCAATTTTCTTATTTTTGTTTTGTTAGGACTATTTTCAAATTTATTTTATTTTATTTTTAGGTTCCTCATGATTAGAGAAACTGAAAAATTAAAATAAAATTTTATTAAATTTGAAAAAAGAAAACTCTGAATAAGACAATTGTTTTTTGAAAAATAATCTAACCTAGCCAGCCATGAATTTATCCAGAGATCTTATTGTGGAACCAGATCATAAATAAATTTTAGCCTTTCATTCCAAATTTTAGTTAGTTTTCAAATTTTTTTTCTGGCATCCTAGACCTGCTGAATGTGTTTCTATCTAGTGCTTGATTTTAGCTATCAATGACAGTAATATAATAAATTTTCTAACAATTGATTGAGTTATTAACATGGCAACCTCTTATTACTTGAGCAAATAGAATGGTATCACAGGCTTTGCTGCTTCTATCTGCGCTTTCTCTTTTCTTTTGTTCTCTTCTTTTTTGTCCTTTTCCTTTTTTCCCTTTCTTTTATTTCTTCTTCTGTATAATCTGAAATTTTGAGTGCTGCTCCCTTTTTTATACAATTTCTAAAAATGAGTTTTATCAGTTTGGATATATATATATATATATATATTAGCGGTTGCCACACGCGATGTGTGTATTATTTAAATAAATAAAAATAAAATAAAAAATTTATTATATATTGTGTGTAAGTCAAGTGATAAAAGTCTTATTCATTTTATATAAGTCTAAGGTTCAAGTCCCCTCCACTCATCTATCTAATTTTTTTTTTTTTAATTTTAAACAAAAAAGTGAACACTTGGCAACATAAGAAACAAGTCAAGTGATAAGAGTCTTATTCATTTTATATAAGTCTAAGGTTCAAATCCCCTCCACTCATCTATCTAATTTTTTTTTTTTTAAATTTTAAACAAAAAAAGTGAACACTTGGCAGCATAAGAAACAAGTTAAGTGATAAGAGTCTTATTCATTTTATATAAGTCTAAGGTTCAAATCCCCTCCACTCATCTATCTAATTTTTTTTTTTTAATTTTAAACAAAAAAAGTGAACACTTGGCAGCATAAGAAACAAAGCTTTAGGACACCATAGGAGGTGTTCACTTTATAATAGTACTAGCGGTTGCCACACGCGATGCGTGTGCAATTCAAATAAATAAAAATAAAATAAAATATTCATCATATATTGTGTGTTAGTTAAGTGGTAAAAGTCTTACTCATTTGATATAAGTCTAAGATTCAAATTCCCTCCTCTCATCTATCTAATTTTTTTTTTCAACTAAAAAAGTAGACACATGACAGCATAAGAAATAAAGGTTTCAAAACACCATAAGAGGTGTTCACTTTATAATAGTACTAGCAGTTGCCACACGCGATACGTGTGCAATTCAAATAAATAAAAATAAAATAAAACATTTATCATATATTGTGTGCTAGTTAAATTGTAAAAGTCTTACTCATTTGACATAAGTCTAAGGTTCAAATTCACTCCTCTCATCTATCTAATTTTTTTCTTTATTTCAAATAAAAAAGTAGACACATGACAGTATAAGAAACAAAAATTTCAAGACACCATAAGAGGTGTTCACTTTATAATAGTATAGATAGATAGATAGATAAAGTGTGATTTCTCTATTCACCCTTGTTCTATGTTTGGCAACAGTTATTTTATTTTTATTTTTATAATCTTTAATGAATTTTTAAAATTTTTGTTAAACGTTTTTCATTTTCTTGTATCTAAAAACCAAATCATTATTTTTTTTAACCCAAAAACTCAATAAAAAAATAAAAATAAAAATTACTGAACTTTTTACTATTAATTTTTTTAGGATAAATTAAAAATACACTCCTTGAAATAAAATACAAATCATCTCTTGTGGTTCTGAAAATTACATACCTCTCTGAGATTTTTTATTTTATAATAAATGACCTATTTTATCAATAAATCATCTATTCAAGTAATAGTTTTTCATAATATCATAAATATATTTCAATTACTAATTCATATAATTTTAATTCTATCAAATAAAAATTTCTGACAATAAGATATTTGTATTTTTTTAAATCACAAAAGGCTATCTGTATTTTAAGTAAATTTCAAGAGTATATTTGTAATTTACCTTTTTTTTTAATAAATATTTTATAATTTGTTGGGTAATTCTATTTACACATCCCACATAATTTCAATATACACCACTTACTCAGTGCACATCAAATACAATTTTAATTTTATTATTTTTGCTCAATGCACACCATTCATTTTTAAATATATCTAAAATATCCTTATCTTCTTCAACCACCCCACCAACCCTAACCCTAGCCATCGCCAGGGCCATCAGTTCCTTTTTGTTCTTCTCCGGTGAATCTCTTTCTCACTCTTCTATCTATCACTCATCCTGCGTCATCATTACCAACCTCGCTCCTAAACCCTTTTCCACCCCCTTTCTCCCTCCACCACCGGCTCCACCATCTCCCCATTGTTCTCGCCGCAACCTCTCGTCCCACCCATCTCCTCATTCTTCTTCTTATTTTCTATCTCTAAAAACTGCCAAACCCACTCCCACCACTGTAATCCTCTCTCTACAGTGATCTTTCCCAACCCATCAGAGAGGAGTTTCTCGTCAAAGGCAACTGCAGTGGTGAAGCTTCGATTCGAAGCTTGAAATCCTAGATTGGAGCTTCAAATCTAGTTTGCACGATCGGACTCTTGCAAACCCTAGATCTAGATCTGAAAATCGTAGGATTTTCTCTCTCTCTCTCTCTCTCTGCGATGGAGAAAAATAGGCAATGGCCGAGGTAGGGGGCTGGGTTGTTTGCTAGTGGGGGAGGGAGGAGGGTTTGCAAAGAGAAAAGTTGTCGCTGGTGAGGTAGAGAGGTTATGGGTGTTACGATAATGGTTAGGTTTCAATGACGGTGGCTGGGAATGAAAGTAGACGGCGGAGACTGGTGGTAGCTGGTGGTGCCCAAAAGAATCTAGGGTTAGAATTATGTCCAAAATGGTAATTTGATAAAGGGATATAAGTGTAATAAAAAAAAATTATGGAAATGATATGTACTGAAAAGTTTTGTAATGTGCAAATAGAATTACCCTAATTTATTCCCAACCTAGTATATACCTGGTGAGGAACCAACATGGCTGCATAACGAGCAAGCTCTCCTGCTCGCCAGTCCAGCAAAACAGGTAACCATGGATAAGCCGCATCAAGTCTGACAAACCATAGCCTTATTTCTGGTATTTCTGATAGTTCCCTTGGATCATACTCATCTTCTCTCTTGTAATTTATTGTAAATCCAATCATACGATCCAGATACTCTTTCGGATCAACTATCCTAGCCACATAACTTTATCAGTTCTCATAATGTAATCGGCAAACACGTATTGAAAATCGAGTATTACAGGTAACATAACAAATTAAAATTTTAGGGATCACTTTTTTTTTTTTGAACATTTTGTTACAAAAAAATATTTAGGGACAAGTTCGAATTCCTTTCGTCTGAAAAGTCAAAAGAGGATTTTTAGTAATAAAATTTAAAAAATGTCACTAATAAATATATTTTTAGAAATAAAATAATTATTTATCACTAAATGTCTAATTTTGTCACTAAAAATACAATAAGCTGCAAAAATATTTCATCCCTAAAATGTGATTATGTTCTTAAATTTTTGTCTCTAAAATTTTAATTTGTTATAGCATGGTGATTTTTTTTTTTTAAATTATCATCCGCCAAAAAAAAAAAAAAAAAAAAAAAAATTATTCCAGCTGATGGGGTTAGATCTATTGTGAATGGGCTCGTAAATCGACTATGAATCAACACGAATTGAGAACCGTATGCGTGTTAATTTGGGTTTTTGACTTTTCAATACAAGACACCCTAGTATACTGCTAACAATGAAAATCATATGGTGATATGTACTAATTCATACCCGATTCATTGCCTGATTCACAATTAATATGGATTGTTCAGCTATTATTAAAAAACAAAAATAAACGAATCATGGTTAATGTTTTAAAAAATTTACAATCCTCTCATTTGATTTTGGACACGCTTACCAGAGAGAGGAGAGGTAATTCCAGTGGCAGCATGAAAAGGGGTTAAATCAAGGCTGTGAATAACCTCATTATCAATTACTACTTCAAATCTCCCTTCTGATGGTGGCATTGGTGGTGGCACTTTTGATGCATCTGTCCAAAAAAATAAAATAAAATAAAATAAAAATCAATTAATTAATTAATTTCCTCAGAGTTAGTTAATTTTTTCTGATAGGACTATTTTAGCCATAAAAGACAAAATAAGAATTTTAGCCACAACAAACAAAACATCACATCCAACCTATAATCATTACACTCTTCTCTCACAAAAAAAGTCAAAAAAGCCAAAAAGTCCTTCCCAAACCAAGCTTTTTAACCAGGCTAAAATAACCAAAAAAGCTAAAAAGTCAAAAAATCAACCCACTTCCCAAACAGAGGCTCCGGGTCATAACTAGATTGTATTCTCTGCTCATCTCAAATGTTTTCTATTTTAAGTCAAGCTTGTAAGACTAGATATAAGTTTCTACTGTGTTCGATAATTATTAGCCACATTTTACTTTACCTGTTTCAAAATTATTTCACCTATGTGCACTTTTGTCAATATTATTTTTTTTTAAAATTTTTTTCAGTCATCTTAAATCTTACAATGATCTCTTATTTGTCAATTGTAACATTAATCTTTCTGGTAGAAAAAAGGCCCACATGACATTTGTAGAGAGCTCCACATAAGTGCTAAATGGATATACAAAAGGGTATTAGAATTTTGTCGCCAGTGTAAGAGAGGTTAATGGTTACAATTGGAAAATGAGACATTAGTGTAAGATTAGGGATAGAGTGGAAGTAGACGCCCAACAAATCATCAACCTCATTGAATCGAAGGACACTACCCACCACAAGTGTGGTAACATCATTTAATTGCAGGTACGTAGTCATTTGAAAAGTGTGTTGACTTTTTAATTTTTTAATTTTTTTGACTATTTTAGTTTAAGTTAAAAAATTTAATTTGGGAAGGATTTTTTAACTTTTTAATTTTTTTAATTTTTTTGTAAGAAAAGAGTGTAATAATTATGAATTGAATATTGTAAGATAAATTGATAGAGAGAGAATTATAGAGAGAATAAATTGTATGTATTAAGATTGATATATTGAATGTTATACACGGTCTCCTTTATATAGGAGAAAATGGCCTAAGTGGTATACACACTATACAAAACAACATCATGGCCTAAAGGGAAAGTGGTCACCGAAAGGGGAAAACATACACTAAGGAGACAACATTATTAAAGCTAGTTGGTGTTTTACAGCCAATATATATATGCACTAACATATAATATATATACTAACAGCCCCCCTCAAACTCAAGGAGGATAGGTACTAACCAACTTGAGTTTGGAGAAAGTAACAAAATAAGAAAATAAACTGACAAATAAAAGTGGATAGGAGACACTGTATGGTTGTGTCAAATCGTTGTTGAAGACACGGTATGGTCGTGTCACACCGTTGGAGAAGACACTGTATGGTCGTGTCGAACCGTTGTAGCAGATAATGGCTGGACAGTTTACGAGGTCATGCGGGACCGATGTAGAAGCTAACCGGAATCAATGTCGGGACAGTTTATGGGGTCATGCCGGACCGTTGTAAAAGCTGACCGGAATTAATGTCGGGACAGTTTACGGGGTCATGCCGGACCGTTGTAAAAGCTGACCGGAATCAATGTCGGGACAGTTTACAGGGTCATGCCGGACCGATGTACAAGCTGACCGGAATCAATGTCGGGACAGTTTACGGGGTCATGCCGGACCGAATGTAGAAGATTTTGGTGGTGCATTAAGGGGGCGACGTGCTCATCAGCTTGGGTGGTTCGCATGGTGTGTAACCATGCTCACCATGATATATGTATAACCCCCCCTCAAACTCAAATAGGTTTAAAGATAGAAACCTATTGGAGGTTGAAACGAAGGGATTGATAAAGTGGAGCAAAACGGCTCAACACAAAATAGAGATGTTAAAAAAATAAAAAATAAAAAATTGGTAGAAAGGTTTTTTTTTTTTTTTTTTTGGGGGGAAAAGGGGGGGGGTGTAGAACGGTGAGCGGGTGGATCCCTGACATAAATAAAGGGCAAGTTTGTGGAATGAAAACGAGGTGGTTGTGAATGGATTTTTTTTTTAATGGAAAAAGAAAGATAAAATAAAATAAAGAAAGTGGAGCAACGTGAGTGGGGTGCAAAAGGTGAAGATTGACTCAGTTGTTGTAGATGAAAAAGAAGATAAAAAAAAAAAAAAAAAAAAAAAAGGCATGGGTTTGTGCAAAAGTTGACATAGTCTGTGCAAAAGTTGACATAGTGGGAGGTTTGGGTAATATATTATAATAAACATATACATATATATATATATATATATATATTAAAATAAAAGAAAGTTGAGTGGGGTTGGTGGGTGAAAAAAAAAAAGAAAGGAAAAGCTGGGTGTGGTTGTGTGGCTGTGTTGTTGACCACTGTATAAACGGATCTATAATCACCCATTGATACTTATCAGTTGGAAAAGAATTCCAGACAACATGGCAGTGTGAGAAGCACATGTGCAACCAGGTTAGAAGCACAGCTAAACCATGCATTATAGACTGAGCCACCATGCCAAAACAACCTTGATAGCTTGCTCTTTGCAGACTTGGATTCTCCTTCTTCTCTCTCCATCTCGAGGTAGTTTCCGGCGACGACGATCTCAACCTTCTCTGAAGCCATTGTTGATGGTGATGATGAAGTTGAGGAGGCAATGGATTAGTGGAGCAGCGTTCGATAGCTTGCTCAGATCTAGCACATTGGCGGCCGTAAACGCCTCATCCGACGGCGCAAACACCGTCACCTTGCCGCTTTTCAAGTCGGTGATGTTGACGGAGCGAAGGAGTTCGCGGTGATGACGCTGCTGCAATTGTGTGGCGAGAGTGTGAGGAATAGGGGTTTGCTTGTCAGGGAAGGTGGGATTCCTTCATTGGCAGAGAAGAGAGCTCAGCAAGTTGATTGAGCCATTGTAAGGCAGAGAAGAGTTCAGCTATGGACTTTGTGGCAGCGGAGTGAAGGTATGTGTAGAGGTCCAGCGGGTGGCCAAGGCGAGGCTGCCGCCCGCCGGGGAAGCAGAATTACTAGGTTCTTAACAGAGAGAGCAAGTGAATAAATGAGATGTTATTGATATATTGAATGTTATACACGGTCTCCTTTATATAGGAGAAAATGGCCTAAGTGGTATACACACTATACAAAACAACATCATGGCCTAAAGGGAAAGTGGTCACCGAAAGGGGAAAGCATACACTAAGGAGACAACATTATTAAAGCTAGTTGGTGTTTTACAGCTAATATATATATATGCACTAACATATAATACATATACTGACATTTTATTTATTATGATTAAAATAATTTATTTTATTTTTTTATGACTATTTTAATTCCAAACCCACTTTCCAAACAATGCTAAGTAAGATGAGAGTATCTAGAGTAGATCATTACTATCGAGAAGCGAACCAATGCACTGGTAGCCAAATGGATATAGGTCTAGTTTTTTAATATTACACCTTCTTATATTTCTAATCAACTGACACTAATGTCAAAAAAATTATCTGTACTAGACTTCTTTAATTAATTCAGCACCTTTATTAACCCAAAAAAAGAAAAGAAAAGAAAAGAAAAGGGATAGAGTGGAAAGGGAGCAAAATGTATCTTGCAAATTGTAATGAGTTAAGGTGAATATTTTTTTTTGATAAATAAAATGAGCTAAGGTGAATATTATGGTGCTAAAGGCTAAAATATGATGCTTGGGAGAGCAATCTCAATATAATAGTTATGTTCTTCAACCACAAAATGTGCCTCTAACTACTAGGAACACAAAAAAATAAAAAAAACGAGGTCAAATGGATGAATCCGAGAATAGCAAAAATTCTTAGGCTTATCAAATGCACATAGTGGCCCCGTTGGGTAGAGATGTGGGAAAGTGATTATAATTTATAGTCTAATAACTTATACTTTATGGCTGTGAACATAACTTGATTTTTGGCTTATAAATTAAGCTTCTCCTCCCTTACTCAAAAATAAATTGATTTTTGACTTACAAAAAACTATAAGCTGTATTGTTAAGCTGAACCAAACATATCAAAATAGATTCAATTAAGTTAAAAGTTAAAATAAACTGAAAACAACCCTACCAAACAGAACCAGTCTATTAATGATTACCCATATCTAAAATTTATTCATAATGTATTTTTCCGTCATCGAAATGAGTACACTCAAACTTTAAGAAAATAAAACAAAATATACGATTTCATGAGTAAGATTGAAAGCATGAGAAGTGCTTACTATCTTCATCATCATAGAGAGAGAGATCAAAATTTCCAGATGGATTGAATGCAACAGATACCGAGACGTGTCCTCGCCGGCTCAAGCATTGTGAAGCAGAAGCAATAGAAGAAGTAGTGGAATCTACAATGGATTTGCAGGAAGTCCATGGAGCCAAAGAAGGAATGCTCTGTTTCAATGGTGAAGTAATTGCAGAAGATAGTGGTTTGACTGTGGTGGCCATTGTTTGGATCTATACTGAGATATGTGTGTGCATAGTCTGTGTCTGAGAGAGCTAAGACGGTCAAGATTTTTTTTTGGGTCTGTTTATTGAAAGTTTTATCTACTTTTCTTTGTGGCCTTGTGTTTGAAATGTCTCATATCCATAGTGTGGGGTTTATATATAGGCCTCACATCTATCTTCATCTTTTAAGTTCTGCCTAAAAGAATTGATACTTTTGCCACATTCTTTGAAAACCTTTTTATCTTTAGGTAATATTTTTTTCCTAAAAATTATGTTAATTTTTTTAATATTAATTTTTAAGTCTTTCAAGACCATAACCAATGGGGTTGTCATTTTCTTTTAATATTAAATTTTAATTCTTTCAAAACCATAATCAATCCTTTTTACCTAGTCCACTGCGTTTTGGGCCTCAAAACCAAACTCGAAGTTCGGCCCAATTTTCCCAAAAATTACCCTCTCAATAATCAATGGGGTTGTCAATTTTTTCTTACTATTAATTTTTAAGTTTTTCAAGACCATAACCAACAGGGTTAGCCCGTAGGTTAGAATCGTTGCATTTCAGGAAGACAGTGATTTGAATTTCTATACTTAAGAGGCGTTTTGAGAAGTTGGTAAAAAATTGATTTTTGATTTTTTATCAAGCTTTTTAACTTTTTGGAAAGTGATTTGGAAAGTTGGTAAAAAGTTGACTTTCTGCTTTTTCGTTTAATATTTATTTATGATGTCAAATCAAACTAAAATGACCAAAATACCCCCCTTAACATAAGAAATTTATTTATTTATTTATTTTTCATAGGTCCTAATTTGTAATTTTACACCTGTATTTTTAGCACTTGCCAAACCAATTTTCTAGCTTTTTGACACTTGCGTTTTTTGATATTTTGTCAAAAAACGTGATTTTTTGCTATGTTCCCAAAATGGTGTGTAGAGCTTATTCATTTATGTCGTATTTGATCTTGATTGTGCTTCATTGATACTAATATCATATTTCAATAAATTAAAAAAAAAAATCTCAGAATGCATGGCCATAAAAATTAAAGACAAATATATAGCACTTGACCATTTTGTTTATTTTTGTATCTTCATATTACCTATATTAGTTTCAGTCTTTTTAATTTTGCAAAAAGAGAGTTCAATGTAATTTTGTCACTTACTAAAAGAGAAATTATTAGAACTATTAATTGAAATATATTACTAAAATCATTAAAATGTTTCGTCATTAAGGAGCATGATATAATTTTTAAAATTACAATGAACAATTAGTATTTTAAATAAATATTAAGGTATAAATTCCTTTAAATTAATACAGATGCATTTATAAAATAGAACATATATATAATATTAAACTTCAAAGCTTTTATTTATTTATGTTAAATTATTTATTGACAACTCCAACAACATAATCTCAAAGTTTAATTCTTATAACAAAATAAATTTTATATTTTAATTTTATCAATTTAAATCATAATATTTTGATTTATTTTTAATTTAAATAATTTGTCTATTTTTATTAAGTAAAACTGATAAAAAAATATTTAATTATTAAATTCAATAAATATTTTAGAGATTTTCATACATTTACTTTAATTAAAATGATTAAAATATTATTTTTCGTTAATTTTATTTAATGAAAATAAAAAATAATTTAAATTAAAAACAAATTAAAAGATTAAAGTGAACTTTTTTTTTTTTCTCCAAAAGTTTATTAAAAAAAAAAAAAACAAGAAACCGCAAAATATTTTCTAAAAAACCAAACTTCAGTCACACTTTCCGTTGCTCCCAATTACTGTTATTCACTCCAAGATCAAGAAATAAAAGGGGGGAAAAGAATTATACAACAAGAACAATAACAGAGGAAGAAGAAACAGACCATTCATTAACCATATAGCAAAACAATCTTGTTTTAAGAAGAACAAATATGAAGATTGATTGTGTTTTTAAAAATTAGTGGCTGAAGTATAGATCTAAACTCCAAACTCTCATCAGTAAATAGAGTGATCAAAATCTAAAAAGCGAATGATAAGAATAACATCTACAGTAAAAAGAAAAGAAAATAATATTTATTACCTTATTAGCTAACAAAATTTGAAGAGTTTGGGATGACATTCAGATCCATCCAGAAGAAGCAGATGAGAGAAGACCAATAAAAACTTATCAACCCGGTTCGACCACTAGGTCACCGATTTTTTCTGATTTTACTCCTACTCCGAGTTTAAAGGGTTGACCAAACCTAAACAAGGTCTGATTCAACCGGTCCGACCGGCCGATCCGATCCGGGTTTGAAAACATTGCTACAGGTTGCTAATGTTTGCCACTCTTTTTGATTTTTTGTCTCTTCGATTTCTATTTTTTTTTATTTTAAATTTTATAGGAAAAAGGAGATTATAAGATTCTTGTGTTGGTTGTGCGAGTAGTGGATTTAAATCCTAATTTTCTTAACTAAACATAAAATTATATATTTTATTAAATAATTAAATCAATTGGATCACCTAAATATTCTCAAATTATGTTATTACATGGTTATACTTGATGTCTATTGATTCCTAAGGAATAATCCCATAGCATCATCCATGTAGTCCAATTGCCTATATGAAATCCAAGAACCCATATGAAAAACAATTGTGGATAAACAAGTGAGCCATTTTAGGGGTGAATAGGTTTTTTGGTTTTTTGATTTTTTTTGGTTATTTTAGGTTGGGTTAAAAAGTTTAGTTTGGAAAGAATTTTTTGATTTTTTGATTTTTTTTTGTGAGAGAAGAGTGTAACGATTATGAATTAGATATGATATTTTATTTTTTATGATTAAAATAGTATATTTTGTTTTTTTAAGCTAAAATAACTAAAAAAAAGCCCGTATTCTTCTTTCCAAACGGTGCCTATATCACCATTTTGAGAGAGAGAGAGAGCTCAAAATCATGGTTTTAAAAACCGGACTGGACCGGCCGGTTCAACCGGTTGAACCGCCGACCGGTCGAGGTTCCGGTCCGGGTACACCCAATGAACCGGTCATAGTCGAAAACCGGTCTCTTTTGAGAGAACCGGAAAAACCGCCGGTTGAACCGCCAAACCGGTTGACCCGGTCCCGGTTCACCGGGTTTTAAAAACGGATTTTTTGTATTTTTTTCTTTGTTTTTTTTATTCTTTCTTTCTTATCTTTCTTTCTTATTATATATATATATATATATATAAAAACTTTAATTGAAAACTCTTTTTCAATGGTCTCCTCTTGTGAGGAATCCCATTAAGAGTTTGAAATTATTGTAAAAGTCTCTATTTATTTATAAGAAAAAAAATCTTTCAAAAAAACTCAAAAAATTCATGTGGGATTCAATCAAATTTATTGGAGGGGAGCCATTTTAGGGGTGGATAGGTTTTTTGGTTTTTTGATTTTTTTTGGTTATTTTAGATTGGGTTAAAAAGTTTAGTTTGGAAAGAATTTTTTGATTTTTTGACTTTTTTTTGTGAGAGAAAAGTGTAACAATTATGAATTAGATATGATATTTTATTTTTTATGATTAAAATAGTATATTTTGTTTTTTTTAACTAAAATAATTAAAAAAACCCGTATTCTTCTTTCCAAACGGTGCCTATAGAGAGAGAGAGAGAGAGCTCAAAATTTTCAAGATGCACTGAATGTAACAGAGACATGGGTAGGCTCAAGTGTATTTCTGCAAAAGTGTATTTCCACATGGGTAGGCTCAAGTGTATTTCTGCAAAAGAAACCCTAGAATCTGTTATGGCTTTGAAGAGCATCCATGGAGTCAAATGGATAGTCATTGAAACATACTGAGGAGGTCTATATTTCTACTCTCACACTACCTAAGACTGCGTTGTTTTGTCTTTTTAATTCAATTTCTGTCCTTTTCTTTGTGGTTTTGGTGTTTAAATTACTCTTCTCCAGAGGTGGGATATGGAAAATGGACCTCAAAATTTTCATCTAAATGACTGAACCAGAGAGAGAGAGAGAGAGAGAGAGAGAGAGAGAGAAAGCCCTCTAATTTGCTCAATTTTTTCATGTATTCTTGAATTTCAACAGCTTATATCTTCTGGGATTAAAATTATTTGATCCATTTTTTACTAGCTTTTCAAATATTTGGTTTCAAGTATGATGAATATGAAATTTGTTGATGATGTAAAAACTTTATCAAATTTTACTTTCAAATGTTTTCATTCTTGATTTATCTATTTAATTTTGTTTTTCTGCTAACTTTATGCATAATCAATATGTTGTATGAATCTGTAAAATTGGACACCGTTATTGTCCCAATTGGGCTGTTACCAGTTGTGACCCACACAATGCTCTGCTAATTTTTAGCTTCCACATGTTTCAAACCAGATTTTATTTGCTTGAACATTAAAATTTTAAAAATTATAGGGCAAATAAAATAATTCTGCATACAGTAATTCTGCAGCCTATTTGACATTTTAATAGAGCAGATGAATATTAATTACTAATATAATGAATTATAACTTCATTGTTATTCCAGCTCATTGAGTCAACTGACTGATCTGATAAATAGATTCTATGCCAAAACTCACATGTTTTTTGTATTATTTCTATGTAATCAACATACTATATAATAAGAGGTCACTGGAAAGACCAAAAAATCAATATAAAACATCCTAATTCTTAAATGGTTTCAAGGTTTTTGAAAGCCTATGCCAACTAGTACTAGTAGTAGTAGTTAGTTTCAGGACTAGTCCAAGAGTTGATGATCAATGGAGAAACGAGTGGGGATCGTTGGAGCAGGAATAAGCAGCCTTCTGGCTTGCAAGTGCACTATCGAGTCGGGATTTCAACCGGTTGTCTTTGAAGCTCATGCTGGGATTGGAGGAGTTTGGAGTGAAGCCATGGAGTCCACCAAACTCCAAAACCCGAGAGATGCTTTCCAATTTTCTGATTTCCTGTCGCCTCCTTCGGTACAAGATTTTCATCCTAGCCACACCCAAGTAATGGACTATATCGAATCTTATGCTCAACACTTCAATTTATTCCCTTATATTAGATTCTATTCCAAAGTTATTAGCATGATCTATGTTGGAGTTTCCGAGGAAGAGATGCAATCATGGGATCTATGGGGCGGGACGGGTAACCCCTTCAGCTCCAGAGGCAAATGGCACCTAAAAGTCCATGACAACATAAGATGCTGCACAGAGGTAAGCAAGATTATATTGGAAATTTACATTTTATTTTTCTGTAATATCGAAAGCACTTTTGTCTATGGAGGAAATATAGCTAGAAGAAATATTGCATCCTATGATTAATATCCAAAATGAAGATATTTTTCTTCTTCTTTTGATTCTATTGGATCTTTTGTGTGTGTGTATGTGCATAAATGAACTCATTATACATTATCGTATAATTTTGTGGGTGCATTGTCACTCGATACAAGGAGAATATATCAAATCATGTTCATGGTTAAGACCTAATTCAAAGTGTAGTACAATTAGGGTGTTTGATGTTCCTTTTTTTTCATCTAAAAAAATAGAAAATTGTTTCTAAAAACTATGTCCAGAATTTTTTTCTTTAACCAATTTTTTAAGGAAAACACCAAAAAAATCTTCATATTTTTTGAAAACTGTTTTTAACAAATAAAAATGATGGGTGTTTTTGAAATTTTCATTGTTTTTGTTTAAATATATATATATATATATATATTTAAACCAACACAATGAAAATTTCAAAAACACCCATCATTTTTATTTGTTAAAAACAGTTTTCAAAAGAGAAACAAAGCCATATTTGGCAGAGGAATGAAGAAACAAGCATCGTATTTTGATTTTGATTTTGAATACTAATCACTTCATTTTGAAAGCTTTTAAGATAATGATTTTGTTGTAGGAGTACCAATATGAGTTTGTGATTCTTTGCATTGGAAAATATAGCGGTTTGCCAAACATCCCAGAGTTCCCTCCAGACCATGGTCCACAAGTATACAAGGGCAAGGTGGTGCATTCGATGGACTACTGTGCCATGGACAATGAAAATGTGTCGGAATTAGTTAAAGGAAAGAGAATTGCAATCATCGGTTCTCAAAAATCTGCATTGGACATAGCTGCAGAATGTGCAAATGTAAATGGTACAGTCCCATAAATGGTATCTATCTTCCAAATGCATTCTAGTAATCTAAAATATTTTGCAAATGTTTCACCCTCCTATTACTTCAATTAAATTCAAGAACTCTTTAAGTCATTCTAGAGATTATTAATGACTTGTGAGAAACTTTTGAAAAACAGATTCTTGAATTTTTTTTTATTATTTTAATTTGTTCAAGAATCCTTGAATTTTAATGACTAGTTTTTAAAAAAAAAAAATTCAGAAAACAGATTCTAAAAACAAAACCAAACAGCGTGAATTGTTTTTGTGTTTTCTTTTTTGTTGATGTTTTTCATATTGGAAACTCTTATTAGGACTTGACCACCCTTGCGCAATGATTCAAAGGACTGTTTACTGGATGGTCCCAAGCAGTTATTCCTCAAAATTCAATATTGATTTCTTCTTCTTAAGCCGCTTCTCAGAATTGACGGTTCATACGCCTAGCGAAACATTGCTGCACAGTTTCTTGGTCACCCTTCTTTCGCCTTTGGTAACCTCCCTCTTCTATTAAAAACATGCATAGCCATTTGAAAATAAGTTAAATAATGTTTTTCTTCTATTTTTTGCTTATTTTGTTTGTTTATATTTCATTTTTTCAGAGATGGGCAACATCAAAACTCGTTGAGAGCTATCTTACCTGGGAACTTCCGTTGAAAAAGTACAAAACGGTACCAAAACATAGCTTTCTCGAGCAGTTTTCTTCGTGTCAAGTCCCATTATTGCCCGATAACTTCTACAGAAGGTGGAAGAAGGAAGCATCGTATTGAAGAAATCTCAAAGCATGAGCTTCTGCTCAGAAGGTTTAATTATTGATGGGGAAGTCAAGCCTCTAAAAACAGACCTTGTGATTCTTGCCACTGGCTTCAAAGGAGATGAGAAGCTCAAAAATATGTTCACTTCTCCAACCTTTCAAAAATTCATAAAGGGGCCAACAACCACTCAAGTTCCTCTCTACAGGTTCTCTCCATGAGATCAATTTCAATTTCTACTTCCCATAAGTTTTCTTCATTATATTCAAGTATCAAGACTTTGTTTCGGTTAGCTTAGAAACAGCGTTTCAGAATCATAAGAGAAATGACAAGAGAATTTGGCTATGTAAGAAAATGTTTGGTGAAAAACTAAAACCTATATATATGTTAATACATTCTCAATAATTAAATAATGTTCTAGATTTATGAATATTAGAAACATATAAACCAAAGGTATAAATTCCTAACTAGGGAAGGGGTTTGCCATTGTAAGAAAAACATTAGAAAAATGAAAATTTTCAATAGTCTTATAGATTGAAAAAAGAAAAAACATAAAAGAAGTGTTTCGCAGTAACAAAGAAATAGAATAAGTGACTCAATCATGCTCGTTTCATCCTCTCCTTTCTATCTCTCCTATTCTCCTTTTTAGTTTCTCAAATCCTATAATAAGTTTAAGATTTGGCGTTCTTCTCATATATTTTGTTTTGACAAAAAGAGACAAATAGAAATAGCCATTGTTGGGTATTCCTAATAGGTGCCGAAACAATTCATTGTTTCAGTATGTTCGCCGAAACACTATGTTTCAGTGGAATCATTACAATTTTGATATTTGACTAATGTTTCATTTCAATTTCTTAAGAAACTGAAATATTTAGGCTGTTTTGATGTAAAGGAAGTGAAATTTTGTTGCTCAATTATATTATCTATAACAAAACCATTAGACTCACTATTGCATTTTTTTTTTTTTCCCAATCACAAGTAAAGTCTTTTTTGTTATTGCAGACAGATCATTCAGCCTCGAATTCCAAGTTTGGCAATAGTAGGATATCCGGAGACTTTCAAATCTGCAAGGGTCTGAAATCCGGTGTCAATGGCTAACACATTTGCTCTGTCAAACCTTTGAATTGCCTAGCATTAGAGCAATGGAAAATGAAATTGAACAATGGGAAAATTACATGAAGAGATATGCCAGTAAGTCTTATTCGAGATCATGTATTGCTATCCTGATAAGGTACAACGATCAGTTGTGCCGAGACATGGGATGTGAAACCAGAAGAAAGAAGGGTATTTTTGCGGAGTTTTTTGAACCGTATGGACCTTTCGACTATGTTGGACTCACTAGGCACTAATAAATGTAGATCAACAACTGTTGCAAGTTGACAAAATTGTTGGGGTATGTCTCTTTATTGGAGTTTGAGACCCAATTGGTTTATTAAAAGAGTTTAATTTGGTTTAGTATTGGTTATAATATATTTTTATATATTATATCTAATTTGTGGAGTCCTAATTCAGCTTGATAACAACTAGGGTTTTGATAAAGCAAGTCCAAGATTTAACAATATATATATATATATATTGTTTTGTGTGTTCGGGAGTGGAGCAGCAACAGCAATTCCTTTTTGGTGAGAGTGCTTGGTGTATAACTCAAATTGGTGGGTTTCAATTGGTGTTGTTTGTTGCTGTGTATAGTCAAATTCAAGATTGGTGCCTTGGTTGCTGCACTGTTTTGAAACTTTTGGTTGGTTTTGACTCGATCAAATTCAAGATTGGTGCCTTGGTTGCTGCATTGTTTTGAAACTTTTGGTTGGTTTTGACTCGGTCAAATTCAAGATTGGTGCCTTGGTTGCTGCACTATTTTGAAACTTTTGGTTGGTTTTGACTTGATCAAATTCAAGATTGGTGCCTTGGTTATCATCATTAACTTGTACATCCCAAGATTGACAAAATCCACATTCACTCTCCAAACTTCAAAACTTGAGCAATGGAAAACCGGGTGGCAATCGTTGGAGCCGGGATGAGTGGCCTCCTCGCTTGCAGGTACACTCTAGAGAAGGGCTTTCAACCGGTGGTCTTTGAAGCTCAGGCAGGCATTGGAGGACTCTGGGCTCAAACTATTGAGTCCACCAAACTCCAAAACGACAAAGAAGCTTATCAGTTTTCTGATTTCCCATGGCCTTCTTCTGTACAAGTTTTTCCTAGTAACACTGAAGTTATGGATTATTTTGAATCCTATGCTCAGCATTTTGGAATTTTTCCTTATATCAAATTCAAGTCAAAGGTCATTAGTATAGACTATGTGGGTGAGTCTGATGAAGAGTTACAGCGATGGGATCTTTGGGGTGGAACAGGGAAGCCATTTGGTTCTAAGGGGAAATGGCACTTGATTGTCGAGCACACCGAAAAGTTCTCCACTGAGGTATGTTCACTAGCTAATCTTTTCGCTTTTATATTTACTTTTGTGTTTAATGAAATGAAACTCATGACTCTTGAAATGGCATTTGGGCCTGTTCGGTCATGTTTTCGCTTTCTTTGTTTTTGTTTTTTGTGTTGTTGAGGAAAAAAACAATGAAAAGTTCGAAAATGTGCTTTGAAAATTCGAAAACAACTTTTTTGGTGTTTCTTGAAAAGTGGGATGTTTTTGAAAAATTATTCGAAAAGCAGTTTTCAGAAACAGTTCGCCAAACAACTTTCATGTGTCTTGGAAAATGAAAACAGAAAGCGAATACACAATCAAACAAGTCCTTTGCTTTTCAATTTTGTTTTCTGTTTGGTCGTGTTTTTGTTTTCCTTGTTTCCGTTTTTCATGTTTTCGCAATAAAAATAATGAAAGTTTTGTAAATACCCACTCCGTTTTCAATTTTTTTTTTTTTTTTTTTTTTTTTTTTTTTTTTTTTTTGTGTGTGTGTGTTTTTGCAAATAAGGGTTTTGAAAAATTCAAAAACAACATTTTTTGTTGTTTCTTAAGTAGTGGGTTGTATTCAAAAAATTATCCCGAAAACAGCTATCAGAAACAATTCGCCAAACAAGTTTTCTATTTGTTTCTAAAAGATGAAAATACAACCAAACAGGTCTTTTCCTTTTCACTTTTGTTTGCACTCAATTTTCATGACACAAGCTCATTTATGATGTATCGCATTATCTGCTAACACATTCTAATCATATTCATAATGTAAATTGGTATATCAGACTTGGACAAATAATGTGAGAGGAAAATCTATCGATTTTTTTTTCATTCCCATAGAATTTACTACATTGGAAAGGTTATGATATCGTTATTTTGTGTACTAGGAGTACCAATTTGAGTTTGTGATTCTTTGCATCGGACGATTCAGCGGTCTGCCAAACATCCCAGAGTTCCATCCACAGTATGGCCCAGAAGTATACACTGGTAAGGTGATGCATTCCATGGACTATTCTGCTATGGACAATGCGAAAGCAGCTGAATTAATTAAAGGAAAGAGAATTGCAATCATTGGTTCACAGAAATCTGCCGTGGACATAGCAGCAGAATGTGCAAATGCAAATGGTGCGTGAGATTATCAAAATAGCGAACTTTCACTGACTTTGGACGATGAAATTTTACTGAATATAGAGGAAAATTTCAATTTTCCGTGTTCACTAAATTTGGCAGAAACTACCTACTACTAATTTCCTTTATTAATTTTATATGAGAATTTTTTTTCAAGTTTTGAGTGTTAAATGTGCTACGATCCTAGTAGTCATCAAAACTCAATTCTTCCACAGGATGCTTCCCAAATGGTCTTATTTTCAAGAGTGTTAAATGTGCTACGATCCTAGTAGTCATCAAAACTCAATTCTTCCACAGGATGCTTCCCAAATGGTCTTATTTTCAAATTTCACTGTCGAAGCGAAGGCAACAAATCATGTTTTCTTTCTTTTTCCTTTATTAGGAGTTGATTATCCGTGCACGATGATTCAAAGGAGTACCCAGTGGATGTTTCCCACTGGCTATATATGGGGAATGAATTTGGCATTCTTATACTTCAATCGCTTTGCTGAGCTATTGGTTCATAAGCCCGGTGAAACATTTCTTCAAAGCATCTTGGCTAGTCTACTTTCACCTCTGGTAATTTGGTAACACACTCATCCTATAGTTTGCATACCTTCTCAGTAACAGGTTAAACCATTTGTTTTGTTTTGTTTTATTTTTGCACGTGTTCTCAGAGATGGGGCGTCTCAAAATTTGTAGAGAGCTATCTTAGATGGAAACTTCCCTTGAAGAAGTATGGGATGATACCGAAACACAGCTTTCTTCAAGGTGTTTCCTCTTGTCAAATACTTATGCTGCCTGAAAACTTCTACGGCAAAGTGGAAGAAGGGAGTATCATTTTAATGAAATCGCAAAGTGTTGGCTTCTGTAGAGAAGGTTTGATTATTGACGAAGAAGTTGAGCCTCTAAAAACCGACCTTGTAATTCTTGCCACTGGATACAAAGGTGATGAGAAGCTCAAAAATATGTTTCATTCTCCAACCTTTCAAAATTGGATAATGGGGTCACCAACCTCCACAGTTCCTCTATACAGGTCTTTCCAACAACTTGGACTTCTAATTTTGGTGATGTCAAATTTTAGCATGTTTTAAAATTTACTATGTTGCCTCCAAAAAAATGACACATCATGTTATATATATATATATTATAAAGTTCAAACATAAAGTAAAATCAATATTTTTTTATAAGAGAAAAAAAGTTACTAACTGTTGATATTAAAATAACTGTAATGTAAAATATTGACAATAAAATCTTAACTTATGTAAAATTTGAATTAAGCTCATGAACCGAAGTTTTTAAAACATTATTTATTTTATTACAAAATTTTAATTAAAAGTTTATTGTAAGGAAACTGCGAATACATTACATCATAGGGTACAAACTGAATCGTTTGGGAAGTCTTGAACTTGGGTTTTTTTTGATTTTTTTGACAAAAAGACAAACTTTTTGCAAAATAAAAAAAAATACATCCAAACAAAATATCACATCCAACCCTATAATAATTTTACTTTTTTTCTTACAAACATTATATCCAATCACAAAAAAATTTAACTATTATCCCAAACACAAAAAAAAATTTCTCCAATAATACTCTATAACCAAAAAAAACTTATATAAAGACTCATTTCCCAGACACCCACAGAATATGCACTGTTTGAGCGACTCACAAAATATGACATTTTAACATTGTAATGTTCTAAAATATAACATTGACATGATTAAAATAGCACAATCTGTTAGAGATCATTTTAATATCAACTTTTCCTGTTGTTGCAGACAAATCATTCATCCACGGATACCACAATTGGCGATAATCGGATTTTCAGAGAGCTTCTCAAATATATACACCTCGGAGATTAGATGTCAGTGGTTGGCACATTTTCTCAACAGAACGTTTGAATTGCCGAGCATAACGGCGATGGAGAGAGAAGTGACGATGTGGGAAAACTACATGAAGCGGTATGCAGGCGGGCTTTACAGAAGATCTTGCATTGGTGCTCTACATACATGGTACAATGTTCAATTGTGCAGAGATATTGGATGTAAACTGAGAAGAAAGAAGGGTTTGTTTGCAGAGTTGTTTGAACCGCATGGACCAACAGACTATGTAGGACTCGAACCTCAGTGATCTAAGTGGATCAAAAAATAACCAAAAGGTGACATGGTTATACATTAGCTGAAAGTCATTTATTTGAACAATAAGATTAGAGTAATTTTTTTATCGCATTTTCAAATACGTGGTAGAGAATATTGTAAAAAATGGCAAGTTAGCTAAAAAACTAACTGATTGGTTAAAAATAAGTTATAAAAAAGGTTACTTTGTTTAGTACATGTCTTGCTTTTTTCTGCTTTTTCTAATGATTTTTACAATAAATAAATCTGGTTGTTTGGCGGGAATTGAGTGTGGTAAATGGTTCTTCAATAGAGCGTAATCTTGATTCTCCATTTACAACGGAACTTGTTGCATGTAATCGAGCAATCCAATGGGCAAAAGAGTGTAATCTTCTGCAAATCTGCATTTGGACGGATTCCAAGCTTTTAGTGGATGCTTGGTCTATTAGTACTATTATAGCTGATATAAAGATGGCTAGTAGGTCTTTTGATTATCTATGTATTTGTAAGGTCCGGTGACAGGATGTTAAACCATCACATGACTTAGCCAAATTTATAAACAATTTTCCTACTTAGGAGGTGTTTGGGAAGCCTTGAAAGAGGCTATTTTAGCCTCAAATGGGAAAATAGCCAAAAAGCCTCACCAACCATTGATTTTAAAAAAAAAAAGAAAAAGAAAAAAAAAAGTCAAAAAGCAACGGCTGCTGCAGCAGCGCAGCCTACACTGCCACCAACAGTGTAGGCTGCAGACAGGTTAAATTATGATTTCAAACACATTTTTCAATACAACAATCAATCTAAAAATTTAATCTAACTTCCCAAACACATAAACTAAAATAGCTTAATAAATAACTAAAAGATCAAAAAATTTACTAAAATAGTCACTTCCCAAGCGAAGCTTTAATATATTATCTTGTGGTTTGTTTTGATTCTCAAAAAAAAAAAAGGCTCTTCAATAGATCCATTATCTTCAACCAAATTCTGTATAAACTTGGTTCACATTTTACTATTAGAGTGTTGTGATTAGTTAGTGGGCTTATAATTTTATATGGGGTCATAGGAAACAACAAGATAGTATTTGGTGATTGGTGAAGAATATTGTTAGGTTATGTCTCTTGATTATCAAATAAATTTTTTTTTTTTATTTCCATTGCAACAAGGCATATATACATTAACCTAGGCTAAATCTCCACTTGAGGTCTTCACACTTAATGTCAACATGACTTCTTTGATTGGTTCTTGTCAACTCAACAGAGTAATTCCCAAAAATTATTGATTAGTTTAGAGACATTAGGTGGTTATGATTTCTGACTAATTATAAATTATCATGCCTCTTTATGCTCTTTAATTATTTAATACAAAATCGTGAATTCTACTCTCTTCACTAATCAAAACACACGTAGAACTCCACATGATTGCATCCCAAGATCAACGAATAACTTCCCGAGTAATGCCATGGTCTAGTACATTGCTCAGCAATGGTCCCCTCAATTTCATCAAATGCTTGCTTCCTTGCTATATCACATTTTATTTTTGATACACTTGCAACCTCGTTCGAGAAGTTAGCTATTTTAATAAGTTAAAATATTTGTGGTTGGAAAGTAAGTTAGATTTTTTTTGTAATTAGATGTAATATTTATGAGATAAGAAATGAAATGATTATGAGTTCGATATGACTTTTTATCTTATTAACTAATTCACCAATTGCTGCAACCACAAATATTAAAATAAATTAAAAAAAAAACATAAACAACAAATGGGACCACATAACTCCAACAATGGTTACACTCCCCGTTCTTGATCTCTGAAGGTATAAAATTCTGATCCCTGAAGGTATAAAATTCTCCATCCCCACCCTTGATCCCCGATATGGAACCCATCACCCTTCCGCCACTGCCTTCACCCCATAACGGGGATCGGGTTTCCCCGACTCCAAAAAATCTCCAACCTTTTTTTTTGTTTTTTTTTTTTGAATTTTGCATATCCCATTTTGTTTATTTATTTAATTATTTGAGGCAAATAAAAATAATATATATAAAAGCATAATCCAGCAATGTTCAAACATAAGCATCCAAACAACAGTAACATGACAAACAAGATACAAAACAATACCCACACCACAAAAAAAAATCCAAACAACACGTATTTTTTGCTTTAAAAAAAAACACTATTTGTGAATTTTGCAAAGTGACATACACAATTAACATTATTAGCTAAGTTAACTAATATATATATAGAGGGGTATAATAGTAATTTTAGTTTGGGGCGAAAACAGGAACGGGGCCAAGGAACCTATCACCCATCCCTAGCCAGAAAATTGTCGAGGATTCATTTTCAAATACTATCTCCAACCCATCAGGGATATTTTCAAGAAAAAAACTATTTTAATTGGGATCGAGGGGCTAGGTCCCGTCGGACCGAGTTTAAATTGTCATCCTCATCTTTGAAAATAAAAATGAATAATATTATATGTACCAATTAATGTACTAACTAATATACTAACAGATGATGTGACATAATTTTAGAGGCTTGGGTATTTGTAATTTGTATAATAGGTGGAGTTAGTAATAATGACATAATATTAGTTAGAACACTAATTTATATATTAATTGGTACATATAGTACCATTAAATAAAAAATACATAAATAATGGCATTGAATGGTAAATAGTGGCAACTGGCTGAGGCAAAGCAATGGAGTTAAAAAACAGAACCACAAAGCTCCAAAACCGTGCATTAAGATAACAACAAGAATGATAGGGAATTTTAAATTTTAAATTTTAAAGAGAGCTTTAATGATGTGATAAAAAAAAAAAAAAATCAAAACACTACATCAATGGAGTGGAACTCACCCCTAGAGCTCATTTAGAGTTCATGTTTTAGAGCTTCAAAACATTTTTGTACAAACAACACACACATTTCCATACAATTTTAAACAATTATTTACACACATCCACTTCCATAACTTCATTCATGTGTTTGGTGATGGATTTAGGAAGAGATTTAGAAAAAAAAAAGAAAAATGTGTGTGAAATTTACAAAATATAGATATATTTTATTCATATTTCACCTACTTTTTCCTTTCTCTTTTCAAATCTCTTTCTAAATCACCCAACCAAATACAACATCAAAGAATCAGTCAAAGGAAAATACTAATTCATTCAATTTCTTTATTCCTAATCACACCAAATAGTTGAGATTTCTTGCCCTAATTCATTTAGTCAGACGATGGCTTCAACTGTGTTCGCAATCGCACCAACTGAATTACGTTTTGTTATCCTAACATCGATGTATTTTCTGCCGCTTCATGTAGATGAGTCACTGATCCACTGTTTTTGTTAGGTTAAAACATCAATGTAAAATTTTATTTTTCTTTCTCTGTAATCCATGAATTTGAGTTTTACTTTGTAAATAAATGGTGGGTTAGCCTCGTAACGAACTCGAGATTTCGCTTGACAATATCACTTTTTAATTTAAAAGTTAAAAAATTATTAAAAAAATAAAAAAGTCAGTAACTTGTACTATAAAAATTAAAGATTTTATTTTCTCTCTAATTTTTACACATTTTTTTATAAAAAATCAAAATGTCATTCCAAATATACTAACTTTTTTTTATATCATATTTTAATTAAAAAATCAAAAAAATTACTTTAAAAAACTATTCCCAAGCAAGCCAAGTCTCGCTTCCTTATTTTCTTTTGTGGGGATACAACAGTATATTGCCCATATCAATGTAGACTCATTTATCCATGTTTGTGTGTAAAATTTAGATCTTGTTTGGGATAAATTAAAAAAAATTAAAAAGTAAAAAAGTTTAAAAAGTTTAAAAATTAAAAATTTTATATTATTCAAGGATAGCTTGCGGGAGAAGTCATTAAGGCAAAATTATTATTTTACCCTTTGAATTCAACTACTCAAAAGTTAAAAAATCAAAAAGGTAAAATGATCATTTTGATTTCACTACAATATTTTATTATATATTTTTTTGAAAAAAATCAAAAAGTTATACCAAACATACATATTTTTCTCTACTTTTTTAACCAAAAAGTCAAAAAGTATACTTATATAGCACATCTCAAATAACTACTTAATTGTTATGTGAATGGCTACAATTGCAGTAGTAGATAAAGTGGTGCTATTAGCGACCCATGAATTATTTTAGATCCCTATTTTTTTGAACCCCCACTTATAAATTTTGAAATCCTTAAAATTTCTTTTTTTCCCCCAAACAATACCAAAATTATCTTTGTGAAAACATTCCACTTATTGAATGCACACTCCCCACACCCCTATACCCCAAAAAAATCCCACTTTCAAAAAAACCCTAACAAAGCTCACGAAGAAGAAAACAAGTCTGAACCTATGAATAATGTTCGGTTACCTGTTTCCAAACAAATAATAAATGTTCAACTACCAGTTTCCGAACAAATAAACAATGTTCGAGCCTGTATTCCCGAATTTCAGTCAAATATTCTAGAGTTCAGTCTCAAAAAAATGATGAACATATTTTATTATTTTTGCTATTTTTTTTTTCAACAAACTTACCCTTACAAGGCCAATATTCTCTGAGTTAAGAACAATATCGAAGTTATAAACCTCCTCCAAGCTTTTATTGTTGTCTTCTGTCGTCTTATGGAGTTGTGATTGTCAGAAAAACTTCCACTCATTCTCATTGCCAGAGAAGTGTTGATAATCAAATGGTTGCTACCGTTATTGCTAGAATATTACCGCCAAAGGGTTTTTAAGGTTTTAAGAGTAGGTAGGTTTTGAATGTGGGATTTGGAGAAGATGGATGAGTGGTGAGGGAGGTGAGTGCTCTCATAAATCTTAATTAATTGGGTGTGTAGGTTTAATTGTGAGATGGAATGTCCCAAAATTAATGATATCCTTTTTAGTAATTTTATTTGAGATTATTATTGTAATTAAAAAAAAGACTAAAAATTGAAAGTCTAAAATAATTTATGAGATGTTAATAATAGCTCCAAGTAGATATTGGTATACATATTATATGTGTGTGCATGTTGAATGTATTAGATCGTGTTATTTTGTGGTGATTTATCCATAAAATGAGTGAGTGCTAATGATCTGTAGAGTTCAATTGCTTTTTGAGTTTCCTTTCGAGTGTTTGTTTAGTTTAAGGAATGAAAGATGTTGTAAAACGATTTTAGAGTGGTCAAAATTTTAAATTATGATTACAGGTGAGCATGTTTGGGAGTATTTAGTGGGATTTAAATTTGATAATTAACAGTTACGTGATATAAAAATATTTTATTATATATTATTTATATTTTAAATATAATAATATATTTTTTATGTTATGTGACAGTTATTATGATATTTTTTTCTAATTTTTAATAGAAATTAGTTTTAAGAAAAAATTGGAAAAAATTTAAAACATTAACGGGGACAACAAAATTTTAAAGGCTAAAGTAAAAAAGTGACTATACATAAAGGGAAAGTGTAATTTACCTTATAATTTGTTTCATACATGTTTA